CCATAAAAGTTTCAATAGAACTAGGTTTTACTTCATAATTTAGATCTTGATTTGAAAACTCTTATCTACGTCCTGATTCAACACACTCACGTGTCCGCTTCTGCGCCTGTTGGTCGTTATTATCGTTGGAGCCATCTTCTTGTTGTCCAAGGCTCTCTGAGTCCACTTGCATTCGTCTTTCTAGCTCCAGTTTTTTCTCCTGATATTCGATATGTGTGCGCTGATTTTGAAGCTGTTGTTGTTTTTCCAAAAACTCCATTTGTACCTGTAGTCGTTATACCTTGGATGATGTATGAGAATGTTGGACGCTATGCACCTGGGATTGACGATCAACATCTCGCTTGATTACCCCTTTCGGAGTTGATGCAGACAATAGTAAGTTTTTGTTTGGCATCACAGTGTCCTTAATGTGCCATCCTGCTTGCCAATATTTGGGTTTGGACGTGGCGTGTCCATAATTTGATGTTTCTCAGCAATCTTTCCAGCTGTTGTAACAGAAAATATGTTTATAGATCCGGCTCGAACGACCTCTCGCTCTAGCAAGATTCAGTAGTTAGCACGAGATTTGTCGGTGTCAATAGATTTTTCCCACTTCCAAGCAGAACGTCATTAAAAAAAACAGTTACAACAAAACCACAATGTTGATCAAATTAAAAGTGTATTTAACTGTTCAAAATGTAGGGAAATTATACTCTATATGTCTTGCCTTCATGGCGTTACTCAACGAACTGCCCCGATCGCACGATGCGGGACTGTCAACTTAATTTTTTAACAATGAAAAAACTGACAACTTATTTTATTACAAAATACTAAAGTATTCCAGTTATTCCAGTTTTTTACACAAAGTTTGTCTTAAAACATTGTGCTATGTACATACATGTATTTTATTGTTGAAAAAAGCAAGGGATTTGGAGCGCATATTTGCATAAAATAAATTAATATTTTACGAAAAAGTAATATTATGTACATATATCGGTCCTTGGAAATTTGACTACCATATACACATGTATACAAGCATAAATTAATTTATCTTAATTATTCGATTTACAAAGAAAAATTTGTGTATCCATTCACCGTGCATACGGATTCAAGTATTTTTACAGCCAATCGCGCCGTGACGGGCCGAAAAAAGCCGACACATGCCCATCTCAGCTGATCGCATATTTGCAAGCGATTTACCCTTTGTCTTAAAAGGGTGCGTCAGCTTACAACGCTACAAATGTATTCTGAAGAATTCTGGGAGACATTAACCGTTAAGCTTATTCCGTGAATGTATTCTTGCGCTTTACAAAAGCAGAAACAAGCCTTTTACACTCACAACATTCATATTCAAAAACCACATACATACACTTATATGTGTGTATATGTATGTACATGCATATGAGCATAGATAGCACCTGCATCAACAAATAAAATGTACATATGTACATACATCGTATGAATGTACATATCAGCGTCGCCAGACGTCCTGATTTTGACGGGACATCCCAATTTTTAAATCAAAATTAAATATCCCGCGCTCAGTTCCGCTTTTCGGGAATAACTCGACCATGCGTTTAGCGTGCTGAGGAATTTCGGACGAGTTGCACTAATAAGATAGGACTGTATGTACATATGTCGGTGTTAAATTTTACAGTGTTTAATTTTAGAAACTACGAGCCCGCAATGTCCCAATCTATATATATATATATATGTATTTTATGTATATACAGGTTTATGTACGTACTATCAGGTATTGCCCGTCTTAACCCGGCTCAATAAAATGTTTCCAATTGTATTTATTTTGTGTGTGCACAACCTTCCCATATGTTTTCACCTTATAAGTTACCAGTAGGAAGGCATTTAAGTGAACATTTTTTGTTCTTGACAAAAAATTGTTCAGTAGTCCGTTATATTTTTGTTCTTGTCAAACTATTTCGTTAAACGAACATGACCACTATAACTAATATTTTTTAAGGCTCGTTTTCCCCCCTTTGGAGCTAGAATTTTCCAAAAGCCTTTCTTAGTGTGCTCCTACACTATGATGGATACTATGAAAGTATACTTGAGTCCAAATTTAATCTTTTACCGTTTGGGCTGTGCGTTGATCACCAATTAGTCAGGACAAACTGTTTTATATATAGAGATAACGCAACGTTTTAAGATAGACTATGTGCAAAAAAGGGGAATAATTATAAGGGTATATCCTAATTTTAAATTCACATTTGAGTCTTTTCGTGCCATATTAAGTCAATACGGTCACTCACAAACTCGGAATATGAAACACGGCACTCGTGTCAATGCCGTGCAGCGATGAGCCACGATCAAAAAGCACTGACAATTCTCATCTCAATTTGCTAGAGTAAAACTTTCGATAGTTGAAGCCACCGATACCATGAAAATATCCAAGTTTGAATGCAATAAGCAGAATAATTAAATAATAAAATCTAATTATTTATTGAGATCAATAAGAACAAATCATATACATACATACATCTGCCCGCAATGCGAAGCAGAATATGCGTAGCTCTGTTATTCGGTTTCTGCTTTACTATCGGTTACGCAGTCGTTGCCTAGCGACGGTAACTGTAAACATTAATACGAATGTACATACATACTATATTCATACACAGGCATACATACATATATACATATGTATGTTTCTCTTTACTTTTCCAACCGTACGTAGAGAACCGCACACATAGACACGAATTGTTGCTTGTTGTGTGTGTGAGTGTGTGTATGTGATGTCCCCAACTATTTGATATTTGTTGTTGCTGCATAAAGTTATTAATGAAAACCCTAATGCCAAATGCACTAAACAAAGAAAAAATTACTTTTAAAAATGTTATATAATTTTCAATTAATTAACATTTCTTGCTCTGTCAGTGCAATACGAATGTACATACATATATATGTAGATACATATGTATGTACATACATAGATGTGCATATATGTATGTATGGACATTCACACATTAGTGTCTCACATTTTGCTTTGGCTATTTCAATCGTTTGCACGCAACTACACGAACAGCTGCTTGTGTGTGTGTATGTATACTTAGTTGTCCCCAACTGTTTGATATTTTGTATTGTTTGTTCTGCCTGCTTTTGTAAAATGCATATTTTGAAAATCCTTGAATGCAAAGTTGTAAATTTAGTTACGTAGATTACATTACCCAAATCGATCAGACTAAATTTATAACACAAACTTTTCATTTGAAATAGTGAATAAATATTAAAACCCCAATAATTCAAGCTCCAACACAAGCTCCAACACAAAATCTAAGTATGCAGTTACGTTTGTATTCTTTAAGTGATTTTAGAAACTAAGTTTTAAGTCGATCGGTTGAAAAATGCGGATTTTTCAAACAAACTTTGGAGCTACTTTTCCCCCCTTTGGAGCTCGAATTTTCCAAAATCCCTTCTTAATGCACATTTACACTATGATAGGATACTTGACCCCAAATTTAAGCTTTCACGCTCTTACCGTTTGGGCTGTGGGCTGTTGACGCGGTTTCCTTTTGTGCCCCAAGAAAACCCCAATTATTCAAGCCCCAACAAAAAATTTAAAAAACCGAGTATGCAGTTTTCTTTGTATTCTTTTATTGATTTCTTTTATTGATGTCGATCGGTTGAAAAATGCGGATTTTTCAAACAAACTTTGGAGCTCGTTTTCCCCCCTTTGGAGCTCGAATTTTCCAAAATCTTAGTGCGCATCTACACCATGATAGGATACTTGAGCCCAAATTTCAGCATCCTAGCTTTTACCGTGTGGGCTGTGGGCTGTTGACGCGGTTTGCTTTTGCCCCAACATTTTTTTGCAGGAAAACTGAGAGTATACAAACTAAGTTAATCAGATGAAAATTGTAGATTTTTCATACAAATGTTGGAGCTACTTTTCCCCCCTTTGGAGCTCGAGTTTTCCAAAATCCCTTCTTTGTGGGCACCTAGACTATGAAAGGATACTTGAGTCCAAATTTCAGCTTCCTAGCCTTTACCGTTTGGGCTGTGCGTTGATCACCAATCAGTCAGTCAGTCAGTCAGGACAAACTGTTTTATATATAGATGTATGTACATACATACATACATATATGTATGTATGTATATAAAATAGTTTTTATAATATATCGCTTTTTGAACCCATGTTTTGCATTGGGGCTTTATTGGTGCACGAAAAAAATTTTATTAATTACATACATACATACATATGTATGTATGTGGGCATGAAAGTATGCGCAATCAACGCACAGCCCAAATGTAGGTGAGCACCAGGAAGTGGTTTTAGAAAATTAGAAATCCGATTAACTTTAAACTTCGTTTATGTATTTACTCTGGAAAAAAATACAGAATAAACTGCGTTATATTTTTATAACTTTTCATTAAAGAGTAGAAGAAATAATTATGATATAGTATGTATATTCATTTAAATGTTGTGCATTTGCATAAGTTGACCAAATAACTTTGCCAAATTGTACATCTTTTAATTCTAGAAATTACTTGCCTTGATTTATCACTATCATACTATATATGTACATAAATACATACATATATATATCGACGTATGTACATATGAATGCACATATGATCATACATAGTATTTATTGTACTTTATGTCCTAGCTCTCAAACACCAAAGTAATTTGCTATTTAGGAAATGAACTCTTTAGAAACTTTAGAGTGTCGGAAGAGAAATATCATATAGTAAATAAACGTATAATTGTAAGCACAAATACTGAACCAGCAAAGACGGGCAAGACCTGCTTGTGTACATATAAATACGAATACATATATGTACATTTAAACACATACATACATACATATGTTAATAGAAACGAACAATCTCGAACACCATATCAACTATTTTTAGTTTTACAAGGGAGCATTTAACATGCTGTGTTCAATTTTTTTTCCAAAAAAATTATTTTTGGTTCTTCAAGCAAACACATCATTAATAGTTTATACTGAGAATTCTTCCTGCGTTTAATTACAGCGTTAACTTGCTTAAAAATGAATATTAAAATGGCCGCCACCTGCTGGGCAATGTGTGTGTTATACGCCGTCTTAGCCAGATACGTGTTGGCACATGAAGAGAAAACAGACTTTTCGAGGTCTCCCAACATAACTGAAGGAAATGAGGGAACGACAACGCTGCCTAATTTATTTCAAAAGGCTTCTTGTACAGTTTCAGCCGGTCCGGTTCAGGTTTCAGCTGAAGCAGTCATAACAAAATCACCGAAAGACCTATGTAGTTCAGGTATTTGGGAACCATATGATTCCATTGTTATTTGGTATATATGCATATTACATTAATACTTAAAGATAAAGTGAACCTGGCTATTCAAAATATGGAAACCAAATTTTATGATGAGCTTCGGCAAATCAAAATACTACTACAAACATTACAAGAAACTCAAGGACGAAAAATTGACAGATGTAATTACACTGTGGCTAACAGCAATTCAAAGGTATTGTTACATTTTTGAAGTCACATCACCTAAAGTTTAAGATTATATATTACTAGATTTTCACTTTTCAAATAGCTTATCACGGATAAGAAAATGGCATCTAGTCGAAAACTTCTGCAAGCTGAAGAGTCCCACTTGAATCGAGATCAGGAAATTAATACATTTAACAATACCGTGCTAGGGGATCGAGACTTATCATTTTTTACATATTTCTGGAAATTGGAATACATTACAGAACACATTCTTAATACAACAACTTCAATCATTAACAGTCCCATATTCAGCATTAAGGGTAAGTTGAAACATTCATATTTGTTCATTGTAGGAGTTGCTTCAGCATATTTAAAAATATAATTGGAAATTTATATTTAAATAAGTATTGTATCATAACTATTACTAACTAATTTTACGGTTGTTTTTTGCAACAGGAAAAACACTTCTAGTTCAGTGCGTATTTCAACACTTGCACCGGGATCTCATTCTATTGAAATTGGTCTATGCAGATCGCAGTCGCGACAGTCACAATAATATTATGATGGACATGGGTGGCCTTCTAAAAAATATGGAAATAACGGGAAGCCCGCTTTTTAAATGCAAAATTTGCATACTTGATCAAAGCAGAAAACAAAAAAAAGATATATGCTCACAAGAATTCATTAACTTTGATATAGGTTTCTCTGTGCCAAATAGCGCCCTAATAGGAAGTTCATATATTAAAGATAACGTTCTTATAATAAAAACTATTTTATATTTATAAACTTTAAGCCAACATATTGAAATTTATAAATAAAAACCGCAGATCAATTATCAAGTTCGGTTGATACTGTCGTGCTTATTGTGTGTTCTAGAAATTTGCGGAATTCTTTGCCAAAACCATAAGCTGTTGTGTTTTATTTCGATATATGTACATACCTACGAGCCCTAACCACTATTATTTGGTACGACTAGCTTTTTTTCGATAGTGCAACTTTGAATGACGTTTTTTTTATTTGTGGGTTATGATTGCACACACATATTTATACTTTTTGAAAAGGCCATTGAAGTACCTTTAATTTACTATCAAAACATGCACACGTTTCACATAACAATAATGCAAAAAAACAATTTTAATAAGACAACTTCATAATACACGAAATATTTTTGACCATTATTAATTGGTACGGCAACAATATTTTTATAAATAAGGCTGTAAAAAAGTGAAATGTGAACATACATTGTAAAACTAATCTTATATTAAAAACATATGCCTTTGAGTTGTAATTTTTAATAAGTTTTCTAATTTTTGAGCACGATGGCACGAGGTAAGTCAGTTTGTGAGTAAGGTCGAGCTTCAAATATAGAACAAGATAGAACGCTACAGTCGAGCAAGCCCGACAGTAAAATAGCCTGTACTCTCCACAAAAAGGAACAATTAAAAAAAAATTTTTTTTTAAATTAAATTATTAAAAAAAATGAATTAATTAATTAATTAAAATTAATTAATTTAATTAAATTAGAATACATGTTTATGTTCAGTTTTAACAGCATACATTTACATCACCTACCTATGTGTGTTTATATGCGTGTATGTACAACAACAGCTGCGGGCAGCGCTGCCGACAGAGCTGCAGGCAGCGCATGAGCAGCGACTTTACTTATGGCTATAACTTTCTTCAGAATTGACCTATCATGATGAAATTTGGCACACGGACACATTAGTACTAACTGGATGTACCTACCAAAAATTCCGGTGTATCAGAAAAAATAAACAAACTCGATCTGCCTAGGGCTTATAGGAACCTTGATACCAATTTTAGTTATCCTAGCTCTTGTACTTACTGAGATCCTTGCGCTCATACAGACAGACAGGACAGACAGACAGACGGACATGGCTATATCGACTCGTCTTGTCATCCTGATCAAAAATATATATACTTTGTGGGGTCTGCCACGCCTCTTTCTGCCTGTTACATACATTCGCACGAAACTAGTATAGCCTTTCACCCTTTGGGTACAGGCTATAAAAATTCAATTTGGGCAACAACTATGACAATGTAAGAAATAATAGTATGCTTTCTAATTCTCCGGTACAAAATAGAGTGCAAAGGTATAGAAAGATTGACAATATTCACAGTAATACACAAGGACCATATAAAGTCGACCACACGTTCATTATTATGACGCACTATTTCGCCTTAAAATAGAGTTGGAGTGGATTTGTTGGAGTTTTTTCATTGATCATATGCATAGGCTATTTTTTAAATGCATCGTGCATTATTTAATCAACATTTTAATTTTTTCTTTCAGCAGTTTGAAAGGAAATGCCTAGTACGGTGGGATCGGATTCGAACCGAAGTTCGACTTGAAAACGATCTGTAGATAGGCGCTGTACTGAGTATGTGAAGTGAGCTTTACAGGCCCTTTGTTCAGCTGTCTGGCGCACAGCCTTCGATTCATTTGGGCTCCGATATAGTTCCCAAAAGCGTTGAACTAAGGTGTCGAGAGAAAAATCATTAACTTGAGCGGCAACGTTAACACTAAGTTGTTGACGAGGTATTTTTCCTGTATACCTACCAGCAACAACCCATCCCAGCAAAAAGTTACAAGTAAATATGGACTTAAGAACCCAAAAATCAGTGGCGAAGTTGTGTGCATTCAAACGATATTGAATAGCAGCACACACCTTGTGCTTACTATCAGTTGTGGTCCCACCTGCTAGTGCAATACTCACAGAAGTGTCTTCATGCTTTAATCGCAAGCGCTGCGCGAGGTTCTCAGTCATATCAACGCTAACTTTATCAAATGTTTGTAGGCATTGGAGTAATTCAGTGCTAGAATTATCTACTAATTGTTATTTCTCAGATTCCGACATGGTAGAGTATAATCAAAATAGAAACTCTAAACAAGTTGCAAAGGAAAGAAAATGAAACCAGTACTTTCCTAACAGCCCTCCCAAATAGAAACGCGCTAGAACATAATTTTTGTTTGGGCATTCTCATCTGTTAAGTTTTTCTGGTCTTCCTCTTCTAGAAGATGTTTGTGCTTGGGTTCTTCTTCAAGAAAGAGGGGCGCTCATTTGTGGATTAGATTCCTTAGATGGTGAGAGAATAGAACATGACTATTTTGGAAGCGATTACTATGGGAAATAATAGACAATGCTTATGAGTACGTAACTTAATTTACTCAGCACACAACCGTGAATCAAACTTTTGAAATCGACCTCAGCCTCTTGAATGATAATGCTGAAAATAAAACGCAAAATATTGAGCCACATATAAGGCATCATAAATGCTTTGATGATTGCATTGTCTCGCATAATGGGACAAATGACACTTCAAAACAAACATCAACTGAGGCCTATGGTGGAGAAATATAGGAATAAAATTTCTGATCTCCATTTTCAAATCTATAGAGATTTTGAAAATCCTGACAGCCTGGGCTATAATGTAGCCAATTTTATTTCTGCCGAAAGTGCTATTATGAAGATGAATGCAACAGCTACTTCAGACAGCGCACTTGACGCATACTTTGTATGAACAGTCCATACTGGACACACGGCAACTTCAATCTTTAGAGGAGTTTATGTCCTTCCTTGAACAACGCTTTCTGGCTTTGGAGGCCATCGGAAGCAAGCAAGGAAATATGGAAAATGTAAGGTATGCGCATCGATTACAACTGACACAGGAAAAAACATGCACGTTCTGCAATCACCCTTCCCCATTTTTCAATGCGACAAATTCAAAAGACTGAACTGGGCACAAACCAAAAGATTATGCATTAGCTACTTGAGCAAAAATCACTTGGCCCAAGAATGCCAAGAATGCAAATCGCTATTGCATTTGCAACATGCAACGGAACCAATGTAAGCACTCCAGCAGTAGCCACTACTGTAAACGAAAATCCAAAAAAACAAGTAAAAAAGCTAAAGTGGGGTGTCCCAACTTTGAAATACTCTGTACATATGTTTAGAATAATTATAGAAATGAAAAAAATAAGAGAATTAAAAAAAAAATTTTGATCGATTTTACCTCTCTTGGCCGTCAGCCAATGGGTATCACAAGGGGATTCCGTGTAACCACCAAGCCAGGGGTACACGCCGTAAGTGTGATACACCACTGGTAGTGTGACTATACTCTCCTCGCGAGGGCGGTCTCTGTCTCTGACCCCCCCTTTCCCGCCTACTCGTGGGAACAAAAACAATGAAAACTTTTAAAAATAAAAACAATAAAACAAAAATTGAGACCAGAACTCGCCATAAGCCGGACGGGACAACAAATCCCTCTTTACAATCGGTCATAGACCTGACCGTCAACAGGATGGGAGCCTCCAGCTCTCATCCCATCGCTGTCAGTGCAGGTGGAGACAATCCGACATGCCAATCGGTTGTCTCAGAATCTGCGGATAGTCAGACCCCCTCCACTTCGAAGGCAAAGCAGCTAAGCCAAGCTGCCAAGCCAGCAAGCGAAGTGGAGGTGGCTGGCAAACCCGTAGAGCCAGGCACTTCGGCGATGATGCCACCAAAAATCAAAACAAAGTTTCAAGACAAGAAACGCGCAGCAGCCATACTGCAGAAGCACCATAGAGTGGGCCAAAGGAATTTTACCGGAATTCAAGCCAGCAATTCCGATAAAACGTCATAGGAATGCCCCGAAAAGGCAGAGGTCGGCAGAAGAGATGCCGCCACAACCAGCCAAACGAACGCGACCACAGCTCATGCATCGAACCTTCGCAGAAGTGGCGAAGGATAAGATCCTCATTGGTGTCCTAGACATGGGCAACAAGGAGGGTCTGATCCCAAGGCACAGATGGCCAGGGGTTGAAAATGAGCTGCAAGGCCGCTTTTTGATGGACTTGGCCTCAAACGGTGGACCTCCACCGATCTGCGATGATGCAGGCTGGCATCAAGGCAGGATAAAGGCCATCGCTTGTTACGATAAACGGTCGGCTGAAGCTTACAAAAAGTCAATTGCTGCACTTGGTGAGGTGTATCCAGGTGCCAAGCTAGTTGCAGTGGATTGGTGCGACGTACCCAATAGACCGCGACCCAGTGTCAGGGTGTCGGCTAAACCTGAAAAACCGGAGGAAATCCTGAAGGTTTTTAGATATGCAATCCACAGTTAAAAACGGACGACTGGAGTGTGGCCAAGGTAGAGGAGGCAGAAGAAACCACACGCCAGGTCGTCCCCACAATAAACCAGGAATCTGCTGATGAACTGACAAGGATCGGTGGGCTGGTCAGGTATGGCTATAAGTCAGTAGCCATACGGGTCTACCGGTCCGAAGCAGCACGTGGCAAGACAACTACGCAATAAGCTGAGCTTAGCGATGCGGAACCAGTCGTTTCAGAGACGGAAACGATGACTGACGAAGAGGATATCCTTGAGGGGTATTCCTCCGAGACATCAGAGCTTATACGAGGGCTCGCCACGCTCGGCCAAGAGGATGAAGATTCCATCCTTGACGATGACGACGCCGACAAGACAGTGGTGGCGATAGATGTAGATGCCTCTGAGGTTTCTACAAATTAATCTCCACCACTGCAAAGCAGCATCTGCTGCTCTACAACTTCGTCTAAGCCAGGACCAAGTCGATGTAGTCCTCATCCAGGAACCTTGGATCTGTAGAGGTAAAGTTTCTGGATTGAGGACGTCGGACTATAAGCTAATAATAGCGAAAAACACAGACAAGACCCGCACCTGCATTCTAACCAAGAAAAACATAAATATTTTTCTGCTACCCAATTTTAGCGATGGCGACAACACAGCGGCATGCAAAGAG